TGTAACACACAAAGTTCATGTTCAACTGTAACACAAAGTTCATGTTCAACTGTAACACATAAAGTTCATGTTCAACTGTAACACATAAAGTTCATGTTTGCAAGTAAAGGAAGTTACTCCTTTTTTATGTTTGAATCTTATCTATGAATGAAATTAAAATAAACTTGTTTACTTCTATTCTGACCTTATTTTCGATACATTAAAATAGATTAAATAAGTTTTTAGGACCAACCTCTCGGGTTCTAATAGTCCACTCGGAACAATTAGTGTATTTTCATTGGTTACTACAGTTGTATTAAAACAAGAAGTTGACGCCATCTGTCGGCTGCATGACCACTCGACCAAAACGTTTTCCTGAGTGGCTGTCGTGGGATCGACGTTTAGGTAAGGGGTACCTTCTAGTACAAAGTATGGTGTTTGGTCTCCAACAACGAGGCTTTCGGGGTCTATCCAGGGGCTAAGTGAAGGTTTCTTAACATAAAATGAGCTACTGGCTTCTCCTCGTAAAGCGTTGCTTCCATTCACAGAGACTGTAAAACAATTTAATTCAGTAACCTAAAATATGGCAAATATTTCATCTCTCATTACTTATAAGATGAAAATACATGACAATTACATAAGTTTTAAATTATCAGATGTGTAATCACCTATTTGACTGACAAGATAATTTTAAACCACGTAGAAGGTATAGAAAGGTAGTAAAAGTCAATCTGTATAACAACTTGATGAAAAAACTACATACATTAGTTGACAATAAAATATAAATATATAATGATTAGATTGTAGTCTAGTATGAAAGATATCAACAATTGTACTACAAATACATTTTATTTGGTTTAGTCAGCTTAGAAGATTTATTTCGGTCCTAAATCCATTAAAAAATATCCTTCATGCGTTTAAATAATAATTTCAAATGTAATCAATAATATTTTTAAGAAAACAACTTTAGAGAAAATTAATGGTCGTCGTTACTTACGGAACACATAAAAATAGTTTACTTTGAGACTGTTAAGTAATTTTTTTATTACTTTTGTCGTCTTTACTTTAAAAAAGTTGTGCTTCTGTTCTTCCAGCAACATTTAAATAATGCTACGTGTAAAGTGAGATTTTTATTTATAACGATAAAAGTTTTTGATTTAAAAATCATAATTGTAATTTAATTAAGAATTAAGATTACTGAGCTTATAAAATTACTAGTAATTGAATATTTTTTTCATAAAGAGGTAAAAAAGTAAATACTTTGCAAAAAAAAAAGTTTCCTACGAAAAGAATTGAACAAAGCTACCACCCCTCGAATGTTAGAATTTAACGTTCCAAAAAAAAAAGGTTTCCTAGTTATTGTTATACGAAAAGAATTGAACAAAGCTACCACCCCTCGAATGTTAGAATTTAACGTTCCAAAAAAAAGTTTCCTAGTTATTGATATACGAAAAGAATTGAACAAAGCTACCACCCCTCGAATGTTAGAATTTAACGTTCCAAAAAAAAAAAAGTTGGTTATATTGTTTTTCCCTATAGTGGATAATATGTGTTAAGAATCATATTTACTAAACGATAAACGCTTATAGATTATTTATCAGTTTATGTGTCCGTGATGGAATACTACATGAATTGAGAACTAATCCATCATTGTAATTAACAACTCGGAAGGTTGAAACACTGGTCCAACATTCATGTTTTAGGAGCGTAAGCGGATCTCAGTGAACACCAGTTCAGGAGACTTAAGTGTTCTAATAACTCACCCAAAGTCAAGTCTGATCCAACAAAGTTTTAACTTTTAATTCTTTTGACAATTATAATGTGATTGCTTCACAATAATCAGAAATTTTTGGACATTCTAACACGGGTAAATATATTAACCTATAAATAACGTAACGTTTTTTAGTCAACTTAAGTCCAACTGGGGAAACAGTTTATTAACCTCAACGTAATCATGTTTGTGTGTTAAACTTTTATATCCCTCAAACACCATTACTGTTGTATGATATAACCTTGAAACACCATTACTGTTGTAGAATATATCCCTCAAACACCATTACTGTTGTAGAATATATCCTTGAAACACCATTACTGTTGTATGATATAACCTTCAAACACCATTACTGTTGTGAGATAAATCCTTTAAACACCATTAATGTTGTATGATATAACCTTCAAACGCCATTACTGTTGTATGATATAACCTTCAAACACCATTACTGTTGTGAGATAAATCCTTTAAACATCATTAATGTTGCATGATATAACCTTCAAACGCCATTACTGTTGTATGATATAACCTTCAAACGTCATTACTTTTGTATGATATAACCTTCAAACGTCATTACTGTTGTATGATATAACCTTGTAACACCATTACTGTTGTGAGATAAATCATTTAAACATCATTACTGTTGTATGATATAACCTTCAAACGTCATTACTTTTGTATGATATAACCTTGTAACACCATTACTGTTGTGAGATAAATCCTTTAAACACAATTACTGTTGTATGACATAACCTTCAAACGCCATTACTGTTGTATGATATATCCTTCAAACACCATTACTGTTGTATGATATAACCCTCAAACGTCATTACTGTTGTGGAATATATCTTTGAAACACCATTACTGTTGTAGAATATAACCTTCAAACGCCATTACTGTTGTATGATATAACCTTCAAACGTTATTACTGTTGTATGATATAACCTTCAAACGTCATTACTGTTGTATGATATAACCTTCAAACGTTATTACTGTTGTATGATATAACCTTCAAACGTCATTACTGTTGTATGATATAACCTTCAAACGTTATT